AACCAGTTATAAAATTATATCTTCTACACCTTTATTGCTAGAGTCTCCAAATTTTTAATGTATGCCTATATGCAATTTATACAATTTCGGTTTTTGTTAAAATTTACCCCCCACCTCTAAATTCAGCCCCTCACCCTCACTTTTGTAAAAAGCGTATTTCAAATACTAGAGACTTGTGCTTTGGCAATTACATGCATATCCATGTCATAATCATAATCTGAAAGTTTCATGAAGATCGTACGTCCACAAAAAAAGTTATTAAGCAATTAAGTTCTCATAGTAAGCGCTCACTGCCGCCCATGCGTGTTTATGCTTGTGTGTGTATATGTATGTAATTGTTTGTGTATGTGTGTGTGTGTGTGTATGTGTGTATGTATGTGTGTATGTATGTGTGTGTATGTGTATGTATGCCTGTGTGTGCGTGCGTGCGTGCGTGTGTGTGTGTGTGTGTGTGTGTGTGTGCGTGTTTCTTATGTAAGCTGAAAGACGCGAAAAATGATTGAAATAGCTATTACTCCAAGGGTTCAGGGGATCTCGTAGTCGAGTAGTCTCGACTAGAGCTTTCTTACTTGTTATAACTACCTTTGATGCACGGTTTTCGTCTAGCCACACGCACTTTGTATTTGGCCTTGTGCAGTACTCTTCGTATCGAAATCGGGTGCATATCCTTCCCCATTTCTTTTGTAACTTCAGCAGCACAGATTGTATATGTTATTATGGGATTCACTTGCACCTTTCGAACGATTTTCCTGCATTCATGGCTGTTCAACAGCTTAAGGCGACCTGTATGTTTATGAACTTAGCAGATTTCGGGCTTCCTTGGAGCGCTGCACGTACCTTCGAATACAAAATCGGTTTCTTTCCATTATCTCTCCAGTTTATGCATCAAATTTGACTTGATCGTGGAATAGGTGGAATTAGCAGCATAATTTTCCTCAGAGCTATCGATGTCTCTTTTAGCTTAGGTGCCATTATTAAGAAAAGTAAAAAAATATGCTCAATTCTTACAAAATTTTCTATATTTAAATTTAAATTTGCGAAGCTTTAAATAAAGAAACATAACATATAGTGAAATGCAAAATGATTTTGCCCATCGGTCAAATTGTTAAAAAAAAAAAAAAAAAAACTAAGTGTGCCAATAATTTTGTTCAGCAAAATTTAGGTTTTCTTTAGTTATTTAATTTTAAAAAAATGTACGACGAAGTTTTTCGGAATATTTTTTTTTTTTTTTTATAATTTAAAAAATTCCCTTTTCTATTTGGTTAATTTTTTGTTTCATTAAAAAAACGTTTCAAAATATTTGAAAAATTGCTATAAAGTTTTAAAACCTTGCTGTGCCAATAATTTAGTTCGTCACTGTAAATGAAAAGTGGTTTACGTTAATATTTTAATTATATTGTTATAATTAACTTGGAATTACCTTACCGCTTTATACCTAGTGATGGCACGATTAATCATTTGATACAAAATAATCGATTATTTTGTTTCAATTCACGATTTAATTGTATCGCAAAATGGGTTTTGAATAATCGAGACAATCGATGATTTGCTCAAAAAATCGCATCGCTATAAGCAACATTGGCGCGCCAAAGTTTGAAAGCGAAGCGTAATTAGGGCACCAACAATTAGTAAAGTGTGGAGATTTTTTTTCCAGATTAAATGACACGGCTGTGAATTGCCAATCGTGCCCAAAACAATTGAAGTATTGTAAAAATACAACTGATAATAGACGAAAATATTGAGAAGGAATTGAGTTTCGCGACGCACGCACACAAAAGCACATACACGTAGCAAGGATGTAAATGTGTGTGCATGCTCGTCGCGAAAATGTATTCTTTCTGTGCACAACAGCCTGTGCAAATTGTAAAGCCCAAAATTTGCCGTTGGTCTGCCTTGTGAAGTGAGCACATGCATAAATACATTTGTGTATGTGTATGCTTGTATGGGATGGCAAGCTAATTGTCTCTGGATTTAGTAGTTTGTAAATTTTGTATGATTTGAATCGTAGGGTGACTATCAAATCGGCCATTATGACTTAATTAGAAATTTTTGACAATAATGAGTAAAGCGTGAGTATAATATGACATGTGTATTTCATATATTGCAAAGCATTTAATAAAGTTAGTAGTGTTTTACGATAATTTTTTCGGCTGAAAATGTGTATAAAATAATTTTAATTATATATAATTATTTACGGATATAAACACATTTATAAACATGATTAGCAATAATAATATATAAATGTACTTATGTACATATGTATGTATGTTCATACATAGTACATCTGTGTAAAGTGGTTATGACAGTCCGTAAGTCCGACCAAATGCAAATGCTGGGCTTTAAAATTGCTACAAGCAGCAAGAGTAACGCACGCAGGTCACAAATGCTCATACATGTAGCAAGGGACTACAAGTGTGTGTGTACTTGCCCGTCGCGAAATCATATTCTTTATGCGTATCAACGCTTTCATACCCTTCCCAAGAATAACCATCGAAACGCTTACATTTTCTTTGCATAAGCGTGACAAACGCTTTTAAGATTTCGGTATACCCTTCACTCAAAAGGAAAGAGCTGGGATTGTCGCGAACAATTTTCAATTTCTGTGCGCTGCTGCTATTTGAGAGACCATAGAAAGAGATAGAGTGAGAGAGAGTAGGACAAATAGCGCATAGCTGTGCTTCATAAAAAAATAACACCATTTTGTTTGAGCGCTTGCAGCACACTGATTTTCTCGTGCAATATTTTCACTGCTTGAGCCTCAAGAGACTGAGCCGAGCAAATACGAAGTTGTGTAGTCTCCTCAGCGCATTTTTTCGGTGTTGAAAAAGTTTGTTCTACATGTCTAGTAGTGCTGCAAATCCATCGATGGAAATATCGATAGTATCGATGGACTTTCTTTTGTTAGATAGGTCGATGGAATTTTCTCGATGTCGATAGATCGCTGCAGACGCCAAGCCACAAGTAAGTTCATACGTTGATACTCAAATTATTATTAAAATTAGAATCTATTTTACACAAACAATTGGATTTATTTTTTAACATATAGCACATAGATACCTATTTACCACATTATTTAATTGTTGACGGTTCCTCCACGGAAAATGGAACATTTTTTGATCCCATCTGGTAAGATTCATACAATTAATAGCAAACACGTTTTTTCTAATTGTTTTGGATTTTAGATAAAAGTGCTTCTTCGCCTGCAGACGCCAATAAGGAATCTTCATTTGCTGTTACGGTACACACTGAAAATATTGCGCCTCCGAATAAGCGAAAGAAATTTGAGAAATCTCAAGTATGGAAGTTTTTTGAAAAATGCCAAGAAAAAAACTTTGTGAAATGCCTGTTGTGTGGGCAGCAATATAAAACGAGCGGGAACACATCAAATATGCAAGAGCATTTAAAGCGTGCACATAATGGATCTCACGATAATTAATTTCAGCTTTAAGCTCAAGACTTTTGTGAAAGATAGTCAAGTTTTGTTTTTTAATTTTAAGTTAAATTTTAAAACTTGTTAATTACAGTCGAAATTTTTGGTTTTTAGTTATAAGATAAATATGAACCAAAGTTGATTTTTAGGATAGACTGTTTTGTGATGAACTGGAATACAAATATTATTTTTATGAATTAAGACGAAAAATCATGAATTGTTTTGAACTTACTGAGTATAAATGTTTATAAAGTTAATTTTTTTTCTATGAATTTTCAATAATTTTTGAATGATGGAGCTATTTTCGATGGAACCATCGATACTATCGATGTTTTAATCCATCGGACTCAAACAAAATCGATGGACGGTCCATCGATGGTTTTGCAGCACTAATGTCTAGTCTATGTGTTCTCTGGTCAGTGTCAAAACCCATTTTGCGATACAATTAAATCGTGAATCGAAACAAAATAATCGATTATTGTATATCAAATGATTAATCGTGTCATCACTAATCATACTTGACGACCAGGGTGACCGAATATGGTATTTTAAATACTTTTTGGTATTTTATCAGCTCCGATTTTGCTCAAAAGTATTTTAATGGTATATAGGTATTTAGTAGCATTTTTCTTCGATTTTATGGTATTATATGGTATTTTCGGTTTGGTCACTCTTTAAGTCTTAATGAATCGAATGCTTAATGCTTAAGACTTGCTTAATTTTAAAACAAATAAATAGAAAACATGAGCAATAAGCAAAAATATAGAGCTGAGTGGGAGACTATGCCGGAAAATGAAAAATGGCTGGGAAGGAGCGCTAATAATATGGATGCGCACTGCAAAGCGTGCCAGACTAACATTTTGAGTAGGCTGGCGTCACTTAAACAGCATGCGGCTACACAAAAACAAAGATTTAATAATTTTGCCCGTTTCTAATCCGTTGTGTGAACGCATATTCTCTCAAATTAATTTAATCAAAACGAAAAATCGAAACCGCTTTAAAAATGTAAATATATCACATATATTACATGTACAATAATCATTGCCCGAAAATGGGTGCAATAATTTTAGGCCCAGTGAACAAGTGTGATGTAAAAATTTCAACAAATTGAATTTAAGCTGCTCTGACGAAGAAGGCTAGTAAATATAATTAAATGATCTTAAGAGAAACTGAGAAACTGAGAAACTGAACAAAGAAGTTCCTTTATTATTTTATTTTAAGAAAATGTTACAAAATGAATTTTAAGCATTTAATTAATTTTAAGACTTTAAATATATATTGGAATATGGAATTGAATACGAATGCATATGTTCTAGTTTTATGTTGTACTGAAATATTATTAATTTTTTAAAATGAAATAAACAACAAACATTTTTTGCAATGGGAAAACCCTTATTTTTTCTATATATAATAAGTCAGTTATTATTTTATTATAATTTGAATTTCCAGACGATTTATTTGTTATGGTATTTATAGTAGTATTTTGTAAAATATGAAATAGTATTTTATAGTATAATTTTGAGACCAAATTGGTATTTTTCGTTTGGTCCGGCGCGGTCACCCTGTTGACGACGTCATTGTGATAATTCGTTTCGTGAAGGCGGTTTCATTTTATGTGTCATTTCAAGCAAAGTCGGGACTTGTATTTACTAGTATTATTCACTATATTTATTATGTAAAATTAACGCTATTGCAAGTGATTCTCGAATTTCTACTGTGGCTCAAACACAAAAGGCGTCGGTAAAACCTATAAACACCGGACAGACTGTTTGTTAATAAAATATAATTCGGACTATCAGTTTCGTTTTTTTTTTTTGTTCGAAAGCAAAAGCAATGCAAACAAGTGATGATGCCAAGTATATTCAAAAGTGGGTGTAGCAAGAGATATTATATTCCACCATTAAAACAACATTTTTCTTGATTTAATTTAACTGTATTCATATAAGCTTTTATTTTCTGTGAGTAGGATTACATTATTGGATGTTTATTTAAATGTAAATACACAGAAAACACGTAAAATATCAATATAAGGTTATTTGCAGTTCTATTTTTGTATACAGTCAAATTAGTGACAAAGGATTACGAATCGGCAATTATTTTGTGGAGGTAATAGGTGGCAGGCTTAGAAATTTTATTAACATGGCTCATTAAAATTACAATTTTATTTATTTAGAGATTAGAGATAATTTACACTTTACAAAGGCCTACGGGTAGCTTAATATTTTTAATATTAACAGACTTAAGTATCAATAGACTTAATCATACCTCGTAAACAATATAGAAAAACAGTCACAGTTGTTAACAGGACTCCAACCAACAAAATATCGATTTTTTCATTTAAATGTTTAATCGAAATTACGTGTGTATGTATATACATCATGTATATACACTGTGCAAGTAAAGTCACCCTGATACATTTACCCTGACACCACTTTTGACCAGATTTTGAGTCACCATAAGCTAGATTGACGAAATAAAGTAAGCTACAAAAAGCTAAAAGTTTAAAAAAAAAAAAAAAATTGAAAATAAGCTGACCATAAAAACCAGAGCTTGCAAATGAGAGTTGACCGTTTTTGCGTTTATTCTCTTCCTCGCATCATAACCAAAAAAATTGTGCAGACACGTCTCTCTCTGAGCGTCACTCTCTGTTTTCTTTAGCATCTGTATCGCTCAGACGCAATGCGATGACTCATTCGTGTGACGCTCTCACATGAGTGTCGCGTAAAACTAACACGATTTTCCCTCACACAAAGCTTCGCAGCAAAAAACACTTTGACTAAAAAACTCAGCAGAAAATGTTTTTGCCTTCGTGTGCATGTAAATACACGCATACATACATACAAAAAGAACGTAGCAATCGCGCGTGATTACCCATACAAACGCAACTTACCGTTACTTCATTTAACTCAAGCAAACGATCAGTGTTTGACTTGAGGAAACGAAAACAGAAACAACTGTCTCCCTCAGAGCGCGAGAGAGCAAAGCCAGACGCGACAAAAACAGTTTCTTTCTGAGTTTTTTTGACTGTGTCAGTGAAAGACACTTTTTTGCAGACAACGAAAAAGTGTTAACAGTTATTTGCGAGCTATGATAAAAACACATAAAAATAATGGAAAGTTGTATTTGTTTTTGGTTAACAAAATTTGTTTTAAGTAATGAAATAATTCCATGAGCTTCATTATATATTATTTATAACAGTTAACTATAAGTAAAGTTATAAGCTAACTTGCCTTTATTTACATTTGTACAAATATTTTATATCTTTTTGCTTAAATTAGGTTATATATGTTGCCAAAACTTTATTATCTTATGTATGTTTTCTGGAGAGGGGTTAGTAAGGAGCGACATGGGACAGTTGTCGTGGAAGATTTGGGTTTTAAGGTCTGTTGTGGCGGGACAGTTGATGAGTATGTGTTGGATGGTGAGATCTGTGGTGGTGTTGCAGTTAGGGCATGGTGGGGTGTTGCCGTGGTTGAAGTGTGCTTGTTTTGAGAATATTATGTGTCCTAGTCGGAGTCTAAGTATTTTAGTTTGATCCCGACGTGTAATAGTTATACTCATTCACGAAAGTGAAATGATTATATTGGTTTTGTCCAATGTTCATCTTGCTGTCCGTCCGTCTGTCCGTATGAACGCAATCTATTTCGGCGCTATTAAATCTTGAGACTTGAAATTTGGAACACATACTCGTGTATATCTCCGATTTGTAAAGGGTTAAAATTTTCCCAATCCGCCCACTAGGGGCGTGGCAAATCGGAAAATGCATTTTCCGATATACCAGAAATCATGTTAGTAGAAGAGCTAGAAAGCTGAGATTTAGTATGTAGGTCCGCACCGACCACCCAAGATGACAAGCTATGACGGATATATCTGGATATAAGGGTGGGGGTAAATTACAACAAAAATCGAAATTATATAAAATATATATAAGTCTACATTTAAAATTTGGAAGCTCTAGCTCGATAGGTGTTGGAGATATAATTAAATAACTAGCTTTCGATAAGGTTTTTAATCGATAATAAAATATCGGGGGTAGTTATCGATATATAGAGAAAAACTTGATATGCGCGTGATATACACGGACCTAAGAAAAAAATTCAAGTCTCTAGCTCTTATATCTTCTGAGATCGACGCGTTCATACATACGGACGGACGGACAGACAGACGGACAGGGCCAAATCGACTTAGCTCGTCGCCCTGATCAAGAATATATATACTTTGTGGGGTCTGCCACGCCTCCTTCTGCCTGTTACATACATTTAACAAAACCATTATACCCTGATTTCCCATTGAAAATGGGTTCAGGGTATAATACAAAACAAAACAAGTAAGAAAGCTCTAGTCGAGACTGCTCGACTACGAGATCCCCTGAACCCTTGGAGCAATAGATATTTCAATAATTTTTCGCGTCTTTCAGCTTACACAAGAAACACGCACACACACACACACACACACACGTACGCAACCACAGACATACATACACACACACGCATACACACACACACACATACACACACACACAAACGCATACACACACACATACACAAACACATACACACACAAGCACCCACGCATAAACACGCATGGGCTGCAGTGTGCGCTTACTATGAGAACTTAATTGTTTAATACCTTTTTTTATGAACGTACGATCTTCATGAAACTTTTAGATTATGATTAAAACATGAATATGCATGTAATTGCCAAAGCACAAGTCTCTAGTATTTGAAATACGTTTTTTACAAAAGTGAGGGTGAGGGGGTGAATTTAGAGGTGGGGGGTAAATTTTAATAAAAACCGAAATTGTATAAATTGTATATTAGCATACATTAAATTTGGAGACTCTAGCAATAAAGGTGTAGAAGATATAATTTTATAACTGGTTTTCGATAAGGTTTTTTTTATCGATAAAAAAGATCGGAATGAGTTATCGATTTTTAATGATAAACTTGATATGCGCGCTGTAATTACGGACATATAAAAAAAAATTTGAAGTCTCTAGCTCTTATATCTTCTGAAATCGACGCGTTCATACATACGGACAGACGGACAGACGGACAGACGGACGGACGGACAGACAGACGGACAGGGCCAAATAAACTCAGCTCGTCGCCCTGATCAGGAATATATACACTTTGTGGGGTATGCCACGCCTCCTTCTGCCTGTTACATACATTTCAACAAAACCATAATACCCTGATTTCCCATTGAAAATGGGTTCAGGGTATAAAAAGAATCAGAAAATAATAGCTGTCTATTAATTCTTTTCAAAATGCAAACATTAATATCATGAGATCTGTATTTGTCTAAGGTCGGTATGGAATTGAATTTGTATGCCCACCATTAGCTTCCATTACACCTCTGAGGCGTCGCGACATCGACAATATTAGTTAATTTATGTCGTAGTATTCCGGTATTTTGCGCCACTCCTCGTGTATGCAACAAATTAACTCGACTTCGTTTAGCGACTATTTTCTTTAGTAAACCCCACAAAATCTCAATCGGTTTGATATCCGGGCTCTGGGGTGGGGTGTCAATAACTTTGCTGCAGCTATAAAGAAGCCACAGCAGCGACTTATGTTTCGGATCATTATGCTAATACAGCTTATATTTTAGTTTGCTAGGGTTTTCTGGATCATTGAAGCCAAAGTTGTGCGCGGTTTCAGTCTATGCCTTCTTAAAATATCCAAATAAAATTCCTTCGTCACGTTAAATATTCGCAGCTTGCCAAACTTAACAGTGGGCACAATGTTTTTGGCGTGGAGGGCTGTTTTTGGTTTCCGCCAAACTTTTCCAGGGGCATCATTGTAGAACAACATATCGTTGTCTCGTCGCAAAAGATTACGTTATTTCAATAGTCATGAGGACAGTCAATATGAAGTCTTTCGAGGGTCAGACGTTTCTGAATATTTACAGCAGACAGCAACGGCTTCTTCCTTGCCACATGTGAGGAGTATTTGTATAAATTGAGACTTTTCTCACAGCCTCGGGACACACTGTCCGTCACCAACTCCCGGAGAGCCGTGTGTGGTTTGTCGTCCACTGTCTTAAGAATTTGAGAATTCCGTCTAGAGAGCTTTGCTGGTCTTCCCTTAGAGCTGTTTAGTTCCAGTCTATTTTCTTTTTCTGACCGATTAATAATATAAACTGTTCTAAGCTTAATATCAAACATTTCAGCTAACTCCTTGATGGGTTTTCCTTTGATAAAATTAAAATACACTAATTGTATCAAATTGTCATCGGTGCGTTTACCAGGCATTGTGAAAATTCAAATTGTATGGAAATGGTAGTGATTCCAAAACTTTATTAAACGAATTACTTTACGGAAGACTTGTGAAAATAGACGCCGAATTTAATTTGGATGTCCCGTTATCTTTTTCCCGTCTTCTTTCAACTAAGGTTTGCATTTTGCAAAGAATTAATAGCTGATATTTGCTGTTATTATACCCTGAGCCCATTTTCAATGGGAAATCAGGGTTTAATGGTTTTGTTGAAATGTATGTAACAGGCAGAAGGAGGCGTGGCAGACCCCACAAAGTATATATATTCTTGATCAGGGCGACGAGCTGAGTTGATTTTTTCGTTAAGAATCAGAGCTTGCAAATGAGAGTTGAGCGTTTTTTCGTTTATTCTCTTTCTCGCATCATACCCAAAAAAAAATGTGCAGACACGTCTCTCTCTGAGCGTCACTCTCTGTTTTCTTTAGCATCTTTTTCGCTCAGACGCAATGCGATCACTCATTCGTGTGACGCTCTCACATGAGTGTCGCGTAAAACTAACACGATTTTCCCTCACACAAAGCCTCTCAGCAAAAAACACTTTGACTAACAAACTCAGCAGAAAATGTTTTTGCCTTCGTGTGCATGTAAAT